TCTGGCTGAAGCAGGTAGGAGCCTGGGGAGCAGGAGCGTGCCAAGGTGGGCAGAGCATTGGGGCAGAGAGACCCTGCCGGGGGCAGCTCCTGGTGTTATCCCCCTGGGGGGGTGATGCCAGAGGAGGAGGAGGATGAGGAGGAAGGCACGGGGCAGACCCAGGGCCTCCTGATGCCCCCTGTGCCTCCCTCCAGGAGTGGAGGACTACAAGCTGCGCTGGAACCCGGCGGACTTGACAACGTCACCTCCATCCGGGTGCCCTCCGAGATGATCTGGATCCCCGACATCGTGCTCTACAACAAGTGAGATGGGGGTCCCCAGGGCCAGCTCCCCCATCCCATCCCATCCATCATCCCATCCCATCCCATCCCATCCCATCCCATCCCCATCCCATCCCATCCCATCCCATCCCATCCCATCCCATCCATCCCATCCCATATCCCCATCCACCCCATCCCATCCCATCCCATCCCATATCCCATCCCATCCCCATCCCATCCCATCCCATCCCATCACCATCCCCATCCCATCCCATATCCCCATCCCATCCCATCCCATATCCCCATCCCATCCCTCCCATATCCCCATCCCATCCCATCCCATCCCTCCATCCCCCCCCACCCCATCCCTCCCGCCCCCTCCAACCCTCTCACCTCTCCCCCCACAGCGCCGACGGGGAGTTGCCGTGACCCACATGACGAAGGCCACCTCTTCTCCAACGGGAAGGTGAAGTGGGTGCCCCCCGCCATCTACAAGAGCTCGTGCAGCATCGACGTCACCTTCTTCCCCTTCGACCAGCAGAACTGCAAGATGAAGTTCGGCTCCTGGACCTACGACAAGGCCAAGATCGACCTGGAGAACATGGAGCACCACGTGGACCTCAAGGACTACTGGGAGAGCGGCGAGTGGGCCATCATCAACGCCATCGGCACCTACAACTCCAAGAAGTACGACTGCTGCACCGAGATCTACCCCGACATCACCTTCTTCTTCGTCATCCGCCGCCTGCCCCTCTTCTACACCATCAACCTCATCATCCCCTGCCTGCTCATCTCCTGCCTGACCGTCCTGGTCTTCTACCTGCCCTCCGACTGCGGCGAGAAGATCACGCTCTGCATCTCCGTCCTCCTCTCCCTCACCGTCTTCCTGCTGCTCATCACCGAAATCATCCCCTCCACCTCGCTGGTCATCCCCCTGATCGGCGAGTACCTCCTCTTCACCATGATCTTCGTCACCCTCTCCATCATCATCACCGTCTTCGTCCTCAACGTCCACCACCGCTCGCCCAGCACCCACACCATGCCCCGCTGGGTGCGCGGCTTCTTCCTCGACTTCATCCCCCGATGGCTCTTCATGAAGCGCCCCCCGGCGCTGCCCCCCGCCCAGGGGGCCGCGGGCCAATACGACCCCCCGGGGACCAGGCTCAGCACCTCCCGTTGCTGGCTGGAGACCGACGTGGATGATAAATGGGAAGAGGAAGAGGAGGAGGAGGAGGAAGACGAGGAAGAGGAGGAGGAGGAGAAGGCGTACCCCGGCCGCGTGCCCCCTGCCCAGGGCACCCAGTGCCGCTACGGCTGCGGGCGCCAAGCGGGGAAGGCGTCGGGGGGTCCAGCCCCACGGGTGCCCCCCAAGGAGGAGGAGACGGGCTCAGAACGGGGGCTGCTGCTGTCCCCCAGCATCCTGAAGGCCCTGGAGGGGGTGCAGTACATCGCCGACCACCTGCGAGCCGAGGATGCTGACTTCTCGGTGAGTGGGAGCCCCCAGGGCTGGGGGGGTGATGGGGACCCCCCCCCGACCCAGTGGTGATGCTGTTGCATCCCTCCTTGGGGAGACATTTTGGGGTCCCCAACTGCTTCCCTGCTGTGCTGAGGACCCCAAAACCAGGAGAAGACCCACAGCCACCTCCTGGGAGATGCGTGGTCCCCAGGGCTCTGTAGCTGGGCGATTTGGGATTCCCCGGGGGGGGCTGCACCCCCTGCCCCCCCCACCCCTGCGCTCACAGCCCCCTCTCTGCCTGGCAGGTGAAGGAGGACTGGAAATAGTGGCCATGGTGATCGACCGCATCTTCCTCTGGATGTTCATCATCGTCTGCCTGCTGGGCACGTGGGGCTCTTCCTGCCACCCTACCTGGCGGGGATGATTTAGGGGCTGGGGGCGACGCAGGCTCCCCCCCCCCTCCCCTGGGGACCCTCATCTCTCCCCGGATGAGGCCGTGACGTGGAGGACCCTTGGGTGGGAAAAGCTGGAGGGAGGACAAAGGGGGTGCTGGGGGTGATTTGGGGGTGGGGGTGGGATGTTCTCTCCATAGACAGAAGGAGAGCACCTGGAGGCACCTAGGAGAGGTGTCTGCCTCCTTGAGCTGCCTCAAATCCTACCTGGAACCCAGGGGATGTGCCTGGTTGTGACCCCAAGGCGCTGGGTAAGAAGAGAGGACCCCAGAGCCGCTGCTGGACGCACCCTGGCCGCAGGGTGCTCAGGACCGTGGGCTGGCGCGGTCACCAAAATGTGGGGCGGGTGATGGAGATTCGGGTGGCTCTGCTGAGCCTGGCCAGAGCAAGCAGTCACCCTGCAGCATCCCAGACACGTGCTTGGGTCTGGGCCTTGAACCCGGGGTGCTGCCTTGCTCCGAGGTGCTGGATCCATCGGCACGGGGGTCCCATTCCCCTGGGACCATCCTGAGCAATCATCCTCTCCAACCCACTCCCACAACCACCTGCAGACCCCCAAAATCCCTCGCTCTGATGACTGCTGCCATCCAGCTCTGATTTCTAGCTTCCATGTACCCAAAAGGACCCATCATTAGGAGGGACCGAGTCCCTTCTGCGCCCTGGAGCTGGGATTTTCCCTGCAGTGCTTTCTCCTCCAGGAGCCCAGCTGGATGCCGTCTGAGAGGCTTCAGAGAACACTTTGTGCTGTCAGGAGTGAAATGGGCTGGAATAAAAGCTCGCCGAGAGACGTGAGCATCCCAGGGGCGTCGTGGAAAGGTGTGCGAGGCAGCGAGTGCCCAGGCTGGATGTGTGCACGGGTACACCAGCCATATGGTCTACGGAGCCCCTGTGCTCGTCTCAGCCCCCCAAAAGCCCCTCCTGGGCTGTATCCCCTCTCCCTTCCCCTCTCAGCTCAGCCCTGCCTGGCTGGGGACGTGGCACAAGATCTGGGGGACCCCCAGTGTGGCATGACGTGCGCCCCTGTGCACCCTTTTTTTGGGGGTCCCATTCTTGTGGCCGTGCTGCAGAAAACTCCTCCCTAATTGCCCATGAGTTCCTGGTGGTCCTCAAAAAGCGAAAGAGCTGTGGATAGTTTTGTTAGCCAAAGTTTTGGGAGCAAGGAGAGCCTGGATTTGGGGTCTGTGGGGCTCCAGAGGTGCACGAGGGGCACCCTCGCCGTGGAAGGGCCGGGACCCATCCTTTAGCCAGGAGGAGATGTTGAGCTGGGGGGGGGGCTTCGCGGGGCGTCAGGCAACACAGGCACAGCGGGGCTTGGTGCATGGTTTATCTCAGCCAAAACGAGCAGCGTGGTGGGAAGATGCTGGGGAAAAGCCCGAACCGTAGGATTTCCAACTCAAGCACAATCGGCGCAGAGACCTGGGGGCCGTCGTCGCTTACGCAGAGCAGCTCGGGGTGAACTGGGCCCCCTTCTCCTGGCCAGGTTGTGGCACCGATGGGGTCCCAAACCTCCCCCCCTGCACCCCCCCAAGCTGGGGCCGGGCACAAGACCCGACCCGAGGCAGCGCACGGCCCCGAGCCCCTCGTTAAATAAACCTCACAGGGAAAGCAGGCAGCCCCTCCAGCGAGCACGCCGGGACTCCCCCTCCCAACTTTGGTGGCTCTGGTTAGGGCCAGACCCCCCCAGCAGCAGCTCCAGGCAGGACCAGGACTGCCCCCAAGGTCCTGCAGGGCAGAGCTGCCACCCCACAGCCATCCCCATCCCACCAACAAATCCCCACAAGTGTCCCCCCCCTCTCCCCAGCCCCAACCCTGAGCCCCCTCACCTGGGGGGTGCCGCTGAGCCCCAGCTGCAGCACGGCCCTGCCCTCCTCCACGCTGGAGCACCTGATGGACTTGATGTGCTTGAATTCGGCCAGACAGGTGGGCTGGGGACAGAGGCACAGCCCCACGCTGTCAGAACTATCGGGGGGTCCTCACAACCCCCCCCCAGACACCCCCTTTTCTCGGGGACCCCTACCTTGGCTTCCTTGCTCGTCATCTGCCGGATGCCCTTGGGCCCGATGACCAGGTCCACCGTGATGTTCCACCCTTGCTGCAGGATGGGGAGCAGACAGAGGGGGTCAATTTTGTAGGGTTCTCCCCCAAAACCAGCTCTCCCCCCCTCCCCATTTTCTGCGACACCCCCAGAGAGACCGACCGCCTCCAGGAGGGGCTCGGAGAGGGGCGAGCTCCAAGGTGAGAGGAGGATGGTGCAAGGCAAGGAGCCCGGCGTGGGCACTTCTCCACCTTCAGCAACCTTCAGGCTCCTGCTCGAACCCTCTGGGCTTGCTCCCCTGCCTCGGAGCCCGGGGAGAAACCCACACAGCAGGGAGCAGCCCCCCATGTGTCCCCCCCAAACCGGGTGGCTTTGGCCACGCTGTCACCAAAAGCTGCTGGGGATGCTCTGGGTTCACCCTCACAACCCCACCGTGGCATTTTCACCCAAATCTGGCTGGGTTTAAGGTGCACGGTGGGCACAACCCCGAGTGCCAGCCCGTGATGGGGGCTTCAGGACCACCCTGGCAGCAGGGTGGGGGTCCAGCCCATGCCCCCCTATCCCCTCCTGCGGACTCACGATGAGCTCGCAGCGGTAGCTCTCCTGGTCGATGTTGGCGAAGGTGGCGAGGGTGTGCAGGAACTTGAGGATGCACTCCTCCTCCCGCAGCAGGGCGTACTGCTGGAAGGTCTGCTGGATCATCTTGCGGAACTGCTTGGGCTGCGGGCGGAGAGGCTGCTGGCCACGGCACCGGGGGTACCCGGCACCCCCCGGGGACCTGGCCACGGCGTGCCGCGGGGCTGTGCGCACGGGCGCACAAACACAGACACAGCAGGGCACGCCCGTGCTCATCTGTGTGCACAGGGACACGCGTGTGCACGCCGGCACAGCTCCGTGTGTGTGCACAAGAGTGGGGGGAGATGTGCACGCATGCATGTGCACGCCAACCCTTGCACACGTGGCCGCGCTTGGGTGCGCACATGCGCGCGTCTCCGCCAAAACACCCTCACAAGCAGTGTGCCAAGCCCCGTCACCCGTGTGCAGATGCACACACAGCCCCACACACGCCTTGGTGCACACACACACGGACACCCCCAGGCACCCAGGTGTGCCCCCACACCCTGCCTGTAGGTGTTCAAGCCCCCCCCTTCCACGCGCACGCCCCTCACCTTCAGGTTCTCCTGCATCTGGCTGGGGAAGAAGAGGTCCAGGCCCACCTCCTTCCTGGGGAGCAGAGACCCCACACGCATTAATGGCCCCATAGGGACCCATAAAGGACCCGTAACGCATGGGGGGGGGGCACACCAGCAAAGGGGGTGCCCAGGGCCATGGGGTGCTCCTTGGAGAGCTTCCCTCACCCACCCCACACCAGCAAGGTGATGGATGAGGGAGGATGAGGAGGCTTGGAGCCCTAGAGCAGGCTGGAAGGGGGGTGGATGAAGGGTGGGGGGGGCTGCTGGGGGTCTCTCGGGGAGACCCCAGGGCTTCAGGGCAGGCTGTGCCTACTCACTCCAGGAACTCGAAGTTGGACTTCTTGTCCAGGGCGTTTTGGGGCATGTCCTTGTAAAACCTCCTGCGAGAAAAGTGACATCAGATGGCCACCCACACATCACCACGCGTCCCCCCCCCTCTAATCCCTCCTCCACATCCTTCCCCTTAGTGCAGAGCCCCCCATGCAAGGTGCTGGAAGCCCCTCTCCCACTGCTGCCACCCCCCAAAACCCTCCCGGCTGCTCATCCTGCAGCCCCCGCTGCGCACCCCTCCCCAAAAAAAAAACCCAGGGGCACCCTACCTGAGCTCGAGGCAGCCCAGCTGCAGGGCCATGCCCTCGCTCACCTTGCTGGCGTAGTTCTGCATGTACTCGCTTCGGAGCTGGGGGGGCAGAAAGGGAAGTCAGGGGGTGGAGGGGAGGCCACCTGCATCCCCAAGGGTCCATGCGCTCTGGCATCCCGACCCGGGACGAGGGGGGGAATTTATTGCCATGGGACCATGGGGGGGATTCTGCTGGGGAGGAGGTGATGCCCCCGGTGCTGGGGGACCCCCCCAGACCTGCTGGTAGAAGTAGAGCAGCGTGGTCCTGTCCTCCGTGAAGCGCTCCATGTAGTCCTCGGGCAGGTAGCGGATCTGCAGGTCGTACCTGGGGGGCACGGCACAGCCCCCGGTGAGATCCCCAGGGGCAGGCTGGGGGGGGGGCACAGGAGAGGGTACCCCCGCACCCGAGGGCTCCAGTCCCCTACCTCCACTCAGGCCTCCAGGTGCAGGCACTCGTATTTCTCCTGCACCTCGCCCACCGTCAGCTCGGGGTGCAGCCAGTGGATCTCGTCCGACTTGACGTGCTTGAGGCGCAGCCCGTAGCACTCGGCCAGCTTGATGTCGGGCCCGATGCGGCCGCTCACCAGGATGGATTTGATCACCTCCTGGGGACGGGATGGGGCAGGGAGGAGCGGGGCTAAGCCCCCTGAAAGCCCCCAGGACCCTCCCCAACCCTGTTCCCCCCTCCCCAGTGTCCCCTGCGCCGCAGCCGGCTCCGGCTCAGAGCTGCTGCGGTTTCAGCGTGGGCACCCTCGCCGCGCAGCCTGTCCTCGCACAGAGCCCAAATTGCTCTCGCCACCTGCCCCACGGACTTGACACCAAGCCACCAAGGTCTGCAGATGAGCTTTGGCCAGCTCAGCCACGAGGAGGAAACCCAGCACGGCTGCAGGCGCAGCCCCGTGCTCAGCCCCTGCAGCCGCCGCTCGCTCGAGCTCTCCAGCCTGCTCTGCAGAGACACAGCCCGAAGGCGACCGAGGTTTTTTTGGGGTGTTTTTTGGGGACAAAAAGCCTGAAAGGGTCATTTCCAGCCTGGAAGCTCAGCAGAGCTGCCCCGATGTGCTGAGGGCAAGCTGTCGGGGCAGGCGTTTCCTCGCCGCGGCTGGCACCGCGGGCACCGTGCCCACGGGTGTGGGGACAGCGGGGTGGCACGCACGGCCCTGCAGCTCCTGCCTGGCCTTTGCTCTCTGGCTGGAGGCCAAAAAGCGAGCAGAAGCTGATGGCACAGCCCTAGCTGTGCCTTGCAGCGAGCACCGTGCCTTGTTTTGGGGGGGGGTTGCGAAATGCTGGCGGTTGCGCTTAGGTCCGCAGGTCAGAGCAAGTCCTTCTGAAAGAAAATCTCCCTGTCTCCAGCTACTTGGAGCTTTGGGATCTCCAAATCCAGACACGGTTTCCAAGCCACCAGGAGCCCTCGGGGAAGTTCTGTCCCTGAGGTTGTCCTGCTTGAAGCCACAGCAGCTTCTGGCCTGGGGAGGAGCAACCCGGAGCATCCCGGCCCTGTGCCCAGCCCAGGGGACAGCCAGACCCTCTCCGTTTCCTTGTCCCCACTTGGATTCCCCACAGGCATCTCCCGATGAGTCCTCTCCTTCTCCAACCACTCCTGCGCTCATCTCCAAGCCCTTCTGCCACGCCACGAGCTCCTCCCGGGGGACACGAGGAGGGGATGTCCCAGGAGCGACCCCCGGCTCGGCTCTGATCCCCTCCACCTGGGCTTCCCCCCGAGGGGGAGCAGCATCACCCCCTGCACCCACATCCCCCCTGGGATGCTGGAAACCATCCCCAAACATCCACAGAGGGATGAACCACAGCCAAACTCCTCTTTGCTGTCCAAAAAGGGGCCAGGGTGACTCAATGGGGTTGACCCCTGCTGCAGGAGCTGACCGTGGGGCAGAGGAACCCTCGCCCTCTCCAAGCTGGGCTGCTGGGGACGCCCAGATCTCCTCTCTGCCCCCCAAGATTTGGAGCCCAGGGGCTCTGGGGGCTACCAAGCTGTGAGAAATCCTCCTGCCAGGATCTCCCCCTGATCCCAGACGGACAAACTGCCCCCAGACAGACCAAGTGCCCTCCCGTGCGCCTCCCTGCCCCACGTACCCGTATCTCCGTCGTCACCGGGCACTTGACCAGCTTGAAATTCTTGCCCATGTTGAAGCTGTTGCTGTAGAAGCACACCTTGAGGATGCGCATCTCCTCCCGCTCGGCTTCCAGCGGCCCCATGCCCAGCGTGGCCTCCAGCGTGCCGCCCAGGCTGCGGAAGGAGCTGCTCCGCGGGCGGCCCAGGGGCTCGGGGACCGCCGACATCCTCAGCACGCCCGGGGCGCTAGGAGCTGAGCATCCCTTCCCTGCGGGGAGAGGAAAATATTGCTGGGGGGTTTGGGGGACGGTGGGAGAGAGAGGAGGGGTACCCCAGGGAGCTGCGGGGATGGGGATGGGGTAGGGAGAGCTGTATGGGAAGGAGGGAAGGGGGTGAAGGGATGGAGAGCGATGGAGAGATGGAAAAAGAAAGGGAAAGGAGTGTGTGAGGGTGCTCGCCCTCCCCGTGTGCTCCCCTCCAGGCAGGACCTGCGTGTCCCCAGCACCTCCAGAGCAATGTCCCCATGTCCCCAGCACCTCCAGAGCAGCACCCCAGTATCCCCAGCACCTTTGCCACAACCCCTGCGCCCCCAGCAGCTCGCTGCTGCCCCTCACCACGCGGACACCGCCGTGCGCACGAGGTTTGGGCTCCGTTACCCAGCTCTGGCCCCAAATCCCCCAGCACAGCGGCCACCTCTCGCCCTCCATCCCGCACACCCAGTCTCCACGCTCACCCCTGTCTCCCTCCGTCCACGGCCCCAAAAAAAGCAGGACAAGGCTTCGCCCCGTGCCACGGCGCAGTGCCACTGCCTAGCGGAGCCGAATTTAGCCGAGGGCTCCGTGCAGAGACACGAGCAGAAAAGGGGGAGAGAGCAACCCCGGGCCCGTCACCACGCGGAAGGGCAGCGCTTATTTATACCGATTGGCCCTTTTTATTTTTAGAGGCCTTCAGCACAGGTAGCCCGCTCGCAAAACGTCCCGCAGGGCTGGAGGGGAAGTGGTTTGAGTTTTTGTTTTACCAGAAAAAAAAAATAATAAAATAAAATAAAATAAAATAAATAAAATAAAATAAAATAAAATAAATAAAATAAAATAAAATATAAAATAAAATAAAATAAAATAAAATAAATAAAATAAAATAAAATAAAATAAAATAAAATAAAATAAAATAAAATCAGCCTGCGTCGATCTAAAAGGGCATGGGATCGTGAATGATACCAAGCAGGTCCCAAATCTTTTTTTTGTGGGGTGTTTGGGGAGGGCAGGAGGGACGGGGAAAGCCTTGCCCTGAGTGCCCTGGGGCCGCTCGCTCGGTGCCAGCAGCTTTCCCAGGCTGTGCTCTTTGGGTGTGCAACAATAAATGTGGAAATTCACCCTCGTCGGGCCCTTCCTGGGTCCAAGCCCTCGCTGAGAGCTCGGCCCTCGAGTTACTGATTAACAGGCAGGAGGCTGTTTGCAAACAGCAGCCCCAGCTGCTCGCGGGATGAACCCGCCTGGCGTCACTCCTGGGCTGAACGGCCCCAGTTTGGGGGTCCCTGCCCTGGAGGAATCATTTCTGGAGGCACTGGGGGGGCTGGGGAGGACGTAGGGACACCCGGAGGGGTCTGCCCTGAAGATCCAGGCAGGTGGCAAAGGGATCTGGAAGGGGGCAGGGGATGGGGAGGGTGGCACCCGAGGGGTCCCCGCTCTCCGCAGCGTGCCCGTGGGGCCGTACAGATGGGGACAGTGCAGGGACAACCCCAAAGCACCCAAGAGCAACCCCAAAATGCCCAGGGGGACGTGACATTTCCCCGGGGCATGGGAAATGCAGCCAGGCACCCTCGGATCCCTCACGTGCCGGCAGCGAGCCCAAAAGCTCGGGGTTGTGCGTGTGCGCTCGCACATTTCACACCATTTTTTTTTTAATTTTTTTTTTTTTTTTTTCTCAGCTTCACAGCAAGGCAGGGAGGATCTCGCAGCAAGCCACATCCTTTTGCGGAGCCCTCCTACAGCCCCTGGCCCTGCAGCGATGCACCCCGTGGCCTCCCCGCTCGCCAGGAGGGCTGAGAGGGGTTGGTGGTGGGGGTGCAGGGACCGCCGGTGCCCCCCGCCCACGGTGGCCGTGCCGTGCCTGACGCTGCGGCCGCCCGGCCTCGCTGTGCTGGCCCCCCCCCTGCTTCCTGCTCACCGAGATCAAAATAGAGATAGGGCCAAGCAGAATTAGCAAGCCCCCAGCCTGGCCCGGCACCCGGGGGCAGAAATATTCGCTTGGGGTTTTGCTGCTCCCCAGCAGAGGATGGGTAACCCCCCCCCCAGGGTGGCACCTCTCCTTCCACCCAGGAGGGTCGGCCAGCCCCTCAGTGTGTCCCCCCCGTCCCCAAATTCACAAACTCCTCACCAAATTGCACAGCAGCTTCTCCTGCGAGCCCTGGGCACCTACAGCCGAGCCCCGTGTCCCCCGGGTGTCGGGGGCACCCTCCTGGGGGTGTCACGGTGGGGACGGGGCCCCAGAGCTCAGCTCCTGAGTGGGAAGAGCTTTAGGACACGCGCTGGCGTTTCTCGGGGTGTGTGCACTGCCTGCTTCTTCTTTCTCCCCACCTTCCTTCCTTTCTGGTTCGCTTTCCCCAGCCCCGTTCCCACGACGCGGCCCCTTGCGCTTTCGCTGGGGCTGAGCCCAGGGGACAGAAGTGGGGCTGGGTGCCCCCCGCGTGTCCCCACCCTGCTGGGGGAGGTGGGGAGCACCCCACAGAGCACCCCATGCTCTCACAACCCCCTCCAAATCCCTGCACGAGATGCCCAGCCAAAAAAAAAAAAGAGTTGGGAAGCTGGCACAGCACCCCGGGGCGCATCCCCGCTGCCTTGGGCACCCCAAGGACCCCTCATCCAGGGTGGCCATGCCCCACGTTCATCTGTCCATACACAGCCCTCATTTTCAGGGTGCAGAAGGGGCAGCACCCCATATTTCCCCCCCTGCCTTCTCACCTCCCCTCTGGCACAGGGAAGGGGTCCGAGGGATCCTGGCTCTGCCCCGGGCGCAGCGGTGCCGTGTGAGGACAGCGACCCCGAACCGAAACCAAGCCCCTGCACCCCAGAAACACCACCAGCCCCCTTCTGAAGCCCCTGCGCCCCCCCTACAGACCCTCCCCGTCTCCTCGGGGCTCTGCTGGGGCACCCCAAAACGCATCCCCCCCCTGCACCCAGCCGCCCACACGCAGGGCGCACCGGGAAGTTTCTGGTGCCGGGGACGCGGAAAAGTTCCGTGCTCGGGCACCGCTTCCCCCCCAGCCCTACCCAAACCCCAGCCACTGGGGGGGTGTGGGGGGGGTCCACACATCCCTGTGCACCCCCAGCTGAGCCCCCCCACTCTCCCCCAAGCTCGGTGTGACGAGTTTGCCCGTGCTCAGCCCCCCTGGTGGAGCAGAAGGGGGCGAAGGGCTGCGCCCTAGCGCTGCCCCCAGGGAAGCCGGGGTTTTGGGGGGGTGAGGGGGGGAGCAGGGGGTGGGGGGCACTTACAGAAAGTGGGGGGGGTGTCCCCTGTGTGTCCCCCCCGAGCCCGTGCCGGCGGTGCTGCCTCTTCCTGGTGACGGGGCCGTGCGGAGGCATTTGCATAGTGCCTGTCACGCAGCTCATGCTCGCACATGTGCTGTGCACGGGGTGCAAGTGGGGAAAAGTGCCCCCCTAATTCACCCTGGGTCAGTCGGCTCCGGCCCCACGCTCCCTGTCCTGCCCCGTGTCCCCCCGCACAGCCCCCTTGCCCCCCACATCCCCAAATCTGCCTCAAAGCGCCCCAAACCCGCTGCATTTCAACCCCCCCAACCCCAGTTTTGGGCTGCAAGCCCCCCTCCTCCCACAGGGCTGGGGCAGCGGGGACCCTCCACTTACCCCAGCCCCCCAATCCCCCGGTCAGGGGTCTCTGTCCCTCATGCCAACATCCAGATTATGGCACCCCAAACCATGCTGCCTGCTCCCTGCTCAGCTCCAGGACCCCCCAAAAAAACCAAAACCACAGCCCCCAGCCCCTTGCCCCCCTCCTGGGGACTGCAGCGCTGCGCTCTGTGCCAAGGTGCCCCCGGAGCACCCCGGGCAGTGGCGATCCCAAAAGCCAGGGACGAGATCCCAAAGCCCAGGGACAAGATCCCAAAGGCTGGGGACAATTGGGGGCCCCCCACAGCACTGCCCGCCCCACCCCAGCCCTGCCCCATCCGTGCAGGTATTTTGTGACTCACGGCAAGAGCCTTAGGGTGCCGGGAGCCCCGCACCAAGCCCGTGTGCCTCAGTTTCCCCTTTCCCTCTGGGAAAAGGGTGAGGGTCCCCATGGGAACCCCATGGGAGCACCATGCCCTGCCTCGGGGACTGCTGCCTGTCCGGGGCAGGGAAGGCAAGGCAAAAAGACAGCAGGGTCAGGGGTGACGGGGACATCAGGACGAGTGTCCCATTGCAGTGGGGTCGGGGTGTGCGGGATGGTGCTGCCGGCCCCGCCACGTGATGCCCGGAGGAAGCAAATTTCACAAAGCAGAGGGAGGAAATGACACAAGCTCCAGCCGTGGGGAATGGCTGCCCCAAAAGGGGTGTTGGAGCAGGTACAAGGGGTGCCGTCCTCTCTGCTTGCGGACCCCAAACCAAACCAACCCCCTGCTGACACCCCCGGCGCCCCGTGATGCCCAAAAACGCTGCCAGCGATCCAAAAGCACCCCCAGACCCCATGGAGGATGGGTCCCAGCACATCTCCACCTGACACCTCTCGTGCCGCAGGGGCATTATCCCACCCCTCACCCCAACACACCCCCATTTTTATAGGGTGAGGGTGTTTTTGGGGTGCAGGGCTGTGCCGGGACACGCATCCCACCTCCCAGCCCGGTGCTGCGGCTGCACCCAGGCAGCTGGGCAGGGCGGTGGGGGCAGCAGGCTCCCGAATATCAGGAATTAGACACGGCGAGCTGCCGTGACGCCCACGGCCGGCAGCTCCCCAAGGGGGTGACTCAGGCACGGGGAAAGATCCGCGTGTTCCCGGCACGGAGCCGGCGAGGGGACGCGGCACGGCCATCTGCGCAGGAACAGCTCGCCACCAGGCTCCCTGCGAGCACAGAAACCTCCCCAAAAAAATGCTCGGACATCGGGGTGCACAGCAGGGACGGGGTCCTGAAGGCAAAATGTCCCCACCGGGTTTGTTTGCCTCACCAGTCCCTTCTGGTTTCCACACTGATGGAGAGCTTCCAGGCCAAAAATGCCCAAGTTTTGTCCCTTCGCCATGCCACAGCCATCAGATTCTCCGTGCTCCAGCTAGCAGCAA